AGAAATTACAATGTGAAACTTCCACTAGAAAATTATGTGGACTTCGTGAAATATAAATATAAGAATAATGTTTACTTTTTTTGCACTACAAAATTTTCAAATTTATTTTTATGAAGATGAAAGATACGAGAAAATCTGTCACTTTCATAATGAATCAATTCTATCGAAAATATTACTTTTCTAACTTCTGAATACATAAGTCGATTTTAACGTTCGTTGATCACAATTCATTTTTACCATATCAATGGATATATAAAATTCATCATTTATTATGATGATTAAATACTTTTGTAATAATATCAAATGATGAAGTACAATATGAAACCATATCATGTTTATCAACTTTAGTATTTGATCGTTTAGCTTAAGCATCAACTCGAATATAAATAGTTTGTTATTTTTATCTTTTATATATGTTCTTTTAAGTGTTTTAAGACCAACAACAATTCGAACACTTTTTCAAGGTGTAGAAACGAGTCAACAAACTTTACAGCCACATCTACTGCCACCACACATCCCGACCCTTATAGAAATATAAACAAATTCTACAGAGAATTATGTATCATTCCGATGATTGTGAAATAAAGATGCTCGATATGAATTTTTTTTTATTTTAAATTTATAGTAACTTAGAGATATAAAACAATCTGGATTGATTTTTTGAATAAGTAATTCAATAAAATCTTCGATTTAGATAATATTTCATGTAATCTCTTCTCTATTCACATTGAGAATTGTTTAATTACAATTTTAGAGTTATGTGGAAGTTAAATATAATTTTTATATGTTTGTAATTATGAATAATGGCATTAAAAAATAAGAAATAAAATCAATCGTAAGACATAATCTAATGTTTGATAATGAATGTCAAAAAAATTCATTGAATCATCTTAATTTTTTCATAATTTATCACTTTTCAAATAAAATTTATTTTTCTATTAAACATAAAGTGTGATAAGTATCATAAAATAAAAAAATAAATCTTATGACAGTTAAGAAAATAATCAACTCATATCTAACGAGACTTCTTATAAAATGAGATAAAAAAAAACTCATCCTATGGGATAAACTTCAAAAGAACAAGTGTTTATATTCCATACTGTTTCTTAATGTATAATTTTCCTAGTTAACAAGAAAGATTTATGATTAAAATAAAAACATAATTCAGACAAAATATATTTATATATATCAATCAATCTAACACGATAATATTCGAGAAAAAAAATGTATAGAACTATTTTAAAATATCTAACCTTTCTTTTTCAATTGATGACCATTCTCTCTATAGAATTGAAATATGAGAACAGAATACTTTAGGTTTTTTTTGATTTATTGTATTGTATCAATTAAAGTTTAGTTTGGAAATTAATGATTCATAAGAAAAATTAAATTATTCAAAGTCAATTATGAAACAAACGTTTTTTCATAACAAAAAAATTGAAATGATTGAATGAGTTTTTTAATATTCATTTTTCAAATCTTAGATTATGTCTTTAGAGTGATTGCTATTATTTATAATTATAAATCAATATCAAAGTTAAAAAAAACATATCATTTTATAATGAATTAAAAGTTTTTTCAACAAAATCTCTTATCGAACGTTTTGAATATATAGTGGTTATTAAATCAATAAACACAAAATATAAAAACAAATTTTTACTTTTATGAGGTATTTTTATGTGAAAATATTATTATTTTTTGAGCGTATATATCAAGAAAATTTTCTATTATTATATAGTAACACAAAAAAAGCAATGATGAAAGTTTCTTTTTATGACATTACTTATCTAAAAATTAATAAACCGTAGAAAAATCAGTTTGACTTATTAGATTTTCTTTTCGAAGATATGCATTCAATTTTTTTAAACAATTACAAAAATTTACTATAAAGTCGATCAAGAAATGACTTTTAGAAANATCCCTGAGGGGGGGGGGGTACAGGGATTTTTTCAAAAAAAAAATTTTTTCTCCGAATTATTCACGAGATATATAAATCGACTCAGTTTTTAACGCTGATTCTGAATCTGATATTAGTTTTGAACCAAATTGTAGCTTTCTAACAAAACATCCCCTGAAAAAGGTCTAAAAATGCATAAAAACTGCATGAAGAAAGCAAATAGGGTAGATATGTCTCAGATGATAAAAAACAAAGTGAATATATCTGTTCACTTTTTGAAGTACACATAACACTTGGATTTAAATCCGATGTTTTGGCATTTATTCACAATGATTTCAATTTACTCGCATCGTTTTTCAAAATAAATTTATTTTTGTGTAAAAGTTTGAAAAACGTTCATTTCAATCTTCCCAATTTTCATTTCTTTACAGAAAATGAGCAATGATCATATTCAATCAAAAAGTGTAGTATTAAATGAATATTCAATTTGATCTAATCTTTTCCTATTACAACAATAACTTCTTTTTTTCTTGGAAATATCGGCTAGTTTAAAATGTCATAGTTAAAAAGATAAAATAGGATTATAGAAGATAAACACAAGAGCTTGACGATTTTCTTGAAAGCTGAAATCAGTTTTGGAATGTGACGTCGGCAAGAAAAGATGGGCTTAAATAGCCTAGTGCACCAGAAATGAATTCTTTCATCTAATAGGCAATGACATGCAACGGTGCTCTTCCTTTAATATCTCATGATACAGATGATTAAATATTTAATCAACGTTTAATACGTCGAGCTGTTTTGCTAGGTGTTAATGACATGTCGAATGCTCATATACTGGCACGAATTTACGAATTGCTCATTGGTGACGTAAATGAAAAGGGACAAAAAACAAAATATCTTCTGAACAAGAAAACATTGGCGTTGGCAACTGAAACTATGAAACCACTCGTTGAGATCGATCGAAATTTTTTTGGTTTGAAAACAAAATTTTCAAAAGGAGGATTTTTAGTGCATTGTAACTGTTTTTAAGTACTAGGTAAAGATGAATACAGTCATTATGGTAAGATCTCAAAAGATACATTAGCTTATTAATATTGCTCAATTACATTAGAAAGTTTTCAAAACATATTCAACTTATTTCTTTTAAGTAAACTAACAACGACATAGCTATCAGTTTTTATACAGAAAAATGATTAATATTAGCATTAACTCAAGTTTTAACAGTCACTAAAAGCAATCCTTTGATGGGCATAGCAGTATTATACAATCTCATATATTTTTTTTTTCGTTATTAGGTCTTGGTAGTAGTCTTGCCTATGCTTCACCTTCGTTGCACTTAGATTTCGCTCAAGTGCACGACAACCTTGATTTGGATACATTGATGACTGATTCAAGAAATCTTCAATTCTTCGAATTAATCAGCAAAATTATTAACGAAAAAAAAGCCTCGTGAGTTGCTACAATTTGAATGCAAAAATGTAAAGATGAACACATTACAGATCAGCAATATTGTTTTTCAATTTTCCAATATGTCTTTGTTTTTGAATTACACAAAATAAAGTAGTATATTCTCATGTCAATTTGATCAAATTGTTACTATTTATGTGTCCATTTAATAGTTCCTTAGAATGTGCATCTAGATGTGGATGATGATATATGTGTGATTGAAGAGATGAGTCTGGATGGTTCTCACACTCACACTGCAACTGGAGTAGTCAGCATATGTTGACAATCGGTATAATTGCCTTTTCGAATTGTTTTATAATATCTTCGAACACATCAATTGATCTCGAAAATGGAGAGAATCATCTCAGAGTCTTCTGCGTCTATTTCTTAATTAATTTCTTCACTTTTCAATATTTTTCATTCATTGAGAGTATAAGCAATATGCCGTTGGATTCGCACTCATCAAACAACAGCACAATCATTATGAAGTGAAAAGTTTTTAATTCATCTCTTGACAACCCTTTTTAATAACGAGAAAAATATTTTTGAACTGCTCAAAATTAGTTTCATAACATATTCAAAGATTGCATTAAAGCATAGGAAATTTGAAAATGTTAGTAGAATATTGCGTTCCATTTATATTTGCAATAATAATCTTATCGATATTTTTTTTGTCGTGTAAAATTTTTTGATATAACAATTAGTAAGATGCAATGTAGCCTCTTTTTTTCTCTTGCTTTCCTTCACTTTTTATTATTTGAGTAAGGAAAGTAAGTAAGTTATTTTATCGTTCTTTGCCAAATAACATCGTTGCAAGATGTTCGCTTTTTTTTTCTATCATCAACAGGTATTCCTTTTAAAGTCTGCTTATTTTGTGCACAAGAACGAGAATAAAAGAAAAAAGATAGTGTTCTGAATACATTTACATTAAAAATAGACGAGGTAAAACATTATTTCATTCAACGCAGTCAACAAGTGTTTTATAATGGAGGCCAACCGAAATAGAATATCTACAGGTATGAGCATTTTGTTGTATGCATTGCATATAAACCAGAGCTTAAGCTTCTTAACGACTAATAATATTGTTTTTCGTTTATAATGTATACATGTAAAACAAAACTTCAACATTGAACCTAATGTAGTTAAAGTACGACATCTAATAGTTAAGAAGTAGAGAAAAAACAATTAACTTATTATTCACGCTTTTTGCTATCTTTGGATATTGATGATGATGAAACGAGAAGTGTAGAAGACTTAACATCATGACATAATCAAACTCACTGGTACCTATTGACAACATAATTAAGTGTTATATTTTTCTACTTTCTTTTCGTTCAGTCTTACCCAATCAAAGATTTTCATTTAATAGTTTTCATTGTCACAATAATAGTTTTATCTATTTATTGTTTTAGTAACCTCTGAAAGTTCACAACAACATCCAGCATGTCAATTTAAAACAGGTAAGAGATTCGAGATCTCCTCAACGGAACATAATGCAATCTTTCATGCTCATGACGCAACAAATTTTTCTATTGAATGCTTACAAAAGACAGTCTATTGTATACATATATATACATCTTTAGGCAAACGATGGCTCGATCACCAATCCAATCAGGATGGTAAAAGGGCCAAGAGGCTTGATGAAATCGAAGAAAATATGGATGATCCTCCAAATGCTGTCGATAACAAAATAATGGATCGCATTCATGGTTCGATGATTGGAATGGCGTTGGGAGATGCTGTTGGTGCTCACGTTGAGTTTCGACCTCGAAACTTTCTTGTTGAACATCCAGTGACAGACCTAACAGGAGGTGGAACATGGGGCCTAAAAAAAGGACAGGTAGTCTTCTATTTAAATAAATTTTTTTATCTTCCTATCAAGTAACACTCGAAAAAGTTCACACCAAGACTAAAAATTAGCCATTTGCCTGAAGCTTTAACGGAAACCATTTATGCTAATTTGAGAAACACTATTGATGAAAAATAGAAAAGGTTATTCTTGTCTTATTCGTTGTTTATTCAGTAAAAAATTTTTCATACCGTGAAAGAATCTAACATGTCCTGTCTGTATTGTATCGCATACCGAGAAATTTGATGTTTAATGGCAATTATACTACGTCTTTGGCATACATTCAATACAGAAATTGATACTTGCCGTCTGTAACATAACGAAAACAACTGTCGTGGTCACACTGTAACTAAAAATACGGATAAAACATTTTACTCAGATATGTTGAAAACTTTTTTCTGAAATTAAATTATAAATTATAAACTGAAAATGCAATGATCATAAGTGAGGCATAGCAACAGACATAGGGTAGCAGAAAAAGTCGAGAAGTATTATCGTCAAAGTATTGTCTTTCAAAGGTTATAACATTTCTATGAGCTTTGATCTTCAAATAAAGTTTTCTGAAAAACAAATTAGCGAAGTAGTGTAATCCACACGATTTTGCCTATATCAGACTTTATGGCTCATTAACCACTCCAAAAGTTTCATTAATAAGACATAATTTGATCTCAAAGTATTAAATTATCGAAAATTTGCTAACTGTTCTCTATCATATCAGAACAAAAGCATTCAATTGCACTCGTCAGAAAGTTATTTTTATAAAGATCATTAATATAACAATCAAGCTTATGAGACATAATTTTTTTAGTTCACAGACGATACATCTATGGCTCTTTGTCTTGCAAATTCATTGGTAGCTCGTCGAGGTTATGTCCCTTACGACCAACTAGTTCGCTACAAATGGTGGTATAGAGATGGGTATATGTCTTCTACAGGACAATGTTTTGATATTGGTTCGGCCACAAGACAATCGCTTCAGAAATTTGAAGATCGCCAAGCAAAATTCGCCAAGAAATATAAAATTCCTCTTGACCAATTAGATTTTCTTTCAGACCCTGAACTATTGAAGAAGTTCGATGTGAATTGCAGTGAACAAGGTGTGGCTGGTAACGGAGCTTTGATGCGACTTGCACCTGTACCACTGTTCTTTTATAAACATCCTACTCAAGCCATCGAGTATTCAGGACTTAGTGGATTTATTACTCATGGCGACGATAAAGCTTATGATGCCTGTCGTTACTATGGTGCTTTAATCGTTGCTGCCGTCAATGGAGAAGAAAAAGACGCACTGATTCATAAAAGATTTTACGACAAACATAAAGTATGGTTCGGTGACAAGCCTCTTCATGAAGACATTAAACATATTGCTGAAGGTTCTTACCAGAAAGATGGATATGATAAAGGTATTCGAGGTAAAGGATACATCGTTAGTGCTCTTGAAGCTGCTTTATGGGCATTTTGGTCTGATAAGGGCTCTTTCGAAGAAGGTGTTCTCGCAGCTGTGAATCTTGGTGATGATACGGACACAACAGCAGCCATCTACGGTCAATTAGCAGGTGCCTGTTATGGCTATCAAAAATTACCAGAAAAATGGAAAGAAGAAGTATACGCAAAAAAGTTTATTGAATGTTTGAGCAAATGGATCGTTCATGAAGGAACCCATTGGTCACCAAAAGGATTGAAAACTTCAGAAATAGCTTCCACGACTTTTAATAAGTCATCTTGGGAAGACGAAAAGAATTCAAATGAGTTAAACGTGTTAAAGAAAAATCAAAACTATCAGCTGCCAGTATCAACAAAAGATTTACATACAACATCAGCATCAGCCGCATCGCGTAAAAATCCAAATGACGATGCAACATGTTCTCGATCACGTGGCCGCACTGTTATTGAACCGTCAAAACCTTTGAAATCTGATTCATATGATGCATTTGAAACTGTTCCTCGAAAGTCATTCGAACACGGAGATACCAAATATGCGCGTGCACGTAAGAGTTTTAAAATTCTAACAATATAAGATAAAGAAAAGTTTCACTGATAGAAACAGTAGTGTATTCCAGTACGGAGGCAAACTTTAAAAGTATATATGAGCGACCGCACCTAATCTATGGGTACCATTTCTCCTTTGATAAAGCTCTCAAAGAAATTGCACACTTTCATCCCAAGTAAACTTTTGTGAGAGTTTATTCAACAATCTGTCATAATCTTTTTTTTAACTAGGACTTTATTTCCTGAAGAGTCTCAATTCTTATGATGATGTATGTAAGTGGCTTCAATCGTTGGGTGATCCATACACGATTTATGCGAAGAGTTTTAAGAAAAAAGGCATCGACGGGTATTGGCTTCTGAATCACGTTGACGATCAAATGCTTATGACGTATGGAATCGAAAATCAAGATCATCGAGAAGTTATCCTTTACGAAATTGAACAATTAAAAAGAAAATGCCCAGTGGAGTACTCCACAGATCAAAACTAAAAAATTTTCACTTTCTTTCAATTTTAAACAGACATTAACAAAAAAAGAACACTCAGTTGCGTATCAACTAGTTTGCTGTAGAACTGAGAATGGGTGTGGGCATCTAGGTTTTTGTGTGTAATTAGAGACAGAAGTTGTCCTCTCTTGTTTCACATAGCCATGACATCTATACTAACACTCTCTAGGAAATCTTTTCCAGTGAACTGCAGTATTTTAAAATTGTAACGCTTCCAATAGACAAGAAAGCGAGAATCGTGAGCGTGTTTCCATTTTCAGAATCAGATCAAGATAATTTATACAGAAAAATAAACTAAAATTTTTGTGTCAATACTATAGAGGGTATTTTATAGTTCTCGATGAGCTCTACAAAACTATCTGTTTTTATTACTCGAGCATACTTGTAATATATCAATCAGTGAGAAACGGTTAATATTTCCTACAAAGGTCTCTCAAGGCATTTATGTTCTATCCAAATAGTGAAGTCATAGGTACATTATTTATCACGGATGGCATAGATGGTTATTATTAGATCTAACGTCGATCTATGGGTTTCTGATGGTTGAAATATCTCCTATACCATGGCCTTATAAAAAGATGAGATGATTTCTATGGTTTATTTTTACTTTCCGAAGTTCATTCTTTGACTTGAAGGTAGAAAATGATGAGAATACAGCTGCTGGATTGAAAATTCAAATAAGAAACAACAAAGTAATTATTATTTTTTCAATTTTATTTTGGTTTCAATTTTTCTATGCACACATTCACACGAACTTGAGAGTATGAGTGTGTATGCAAGAAGAGAGTTGAGAATGAGAGAAAAACTTCATTCATAGTTCTAAAATTGTGCCATCGTAAAATTCCGAAGAGAAACTGAGGGATATATGACACAATGATCTTCTAGCAGTACAAGTAGAAAACTCTCCATATTAATGTACAATCAAACTTGAAGGCGAATTTTGTGTAATCTTTTTCTTTCAATCGAATATCGTTTGAGTATCAAGATTTGAAGTATATAGAGATATAAATATTGATCACTAGAATATCTTTAATATGGATTAACGCTACTTTGATCTAAGAAAAACTTATTTTGACATTTTTGAAAAATTTCTTCGCTAAATATTTTCGTTCGTAAGAATGGATGATAAGAAGACTCTTCTTATCACTCTCAAAGTTTCATATGGTGTTATCAGCATGATATACAGTAGAAAGTATTGCAACTTTTTTTTTAATGCTCTAAGATTTATTTATTCTTCAAAATTCGCATTTATGTCAAGTTCATAATTTCTCACGGTGCATGATGCGTATTTTAAACAAAAAATGAGTTCAACAAGTGAAGTGTAACAAGAAAAATGCTTAAAATTGAAAAAGAGAAGAAGAGAACGACAAAAGGAAAGAAAACAAAATTTGCGTGTAATAGAAATGTCTGCAGCAGTCATCTACTATTTGTCACAAGGACAAATTTTCAGTTGGAATTTTCCAACTTGTTTTCCAAGTAAACAGTAAACATATTTCTGAAAATGTTCTGAACTCAAACGAATTAGAAATTCATTTAATAATTAATAATTCTAAATTCTACAAATATTCAAATCATTTTCTTGCTATAATTTTCAACAGAAGCATTCAATCTAAAGCCAATGTTACAACTTCAACGCAAAAAATTAAAGAAAAATTCCCCGACAAAAATTGATCAAGATAATTTATGTTATCAACTATCTTCAGATGTTATAGTCAAAATTCTATCGTATCTACAAGATGTTAGTGATCTTGGATGTTGTTTATTTATTAGTAAACTTTGGAATTTAGCTGCATCACAACCATCTTTATGGAAGAAATTTGTTAAAGAAGAATTCGGTGATTACTTTAATCATGATGACAATTGTAATTGGTTACAAGTTTATAAAAGATTTCATGAATTGAATATTCAAGAAAATTTATGGATAAATATCGACGACTTAGAAGACACTGTTAACTGTCCTTTTTGTCAGACTGAATTATCACCGTTTAAAGAAGATATTGAATATTACGTATATTGCGATTGCAATCATCAATTCCGAATATGTGTCGTTACAAAAAAACAGCGCGATGAAGCAAATAAAAACTATTGTAGAAAATACGACCTATTTAACTAATGGAAAAGATACAGATATTGAACTTGTATAAATAGAACTTCTCTGAAAAAGATGCATCGAAAGAATATTCTCTAGAATATCTATCTTTGTATAAAAGTCAACAGTTAAAAAATGTTACTACATGAAAAAATATATAAGGAGATAAACATTTTTCATTGTGCAATATTTTTTTATAAAATGAACTTGATGAAAAAATTATTATCTGTTTAAAAAAATAATGACCCGTGGTTATATTTGCAATAATTCAAAAAGGCAAAGAGCTAGAAAACTGCAGTTTTTGTCAGTCGATATTATGATAAAATTTTGGTTTTCATATATAATTTCAATAGAGAGACATTAGATCTATAAATTAAGATATAATATGAATGATTATCTTCACGCATTATAACCTTAAGCAAATTTGAATTCTTCAGTTACTTTCTCAAAAAGTATGAATTTCTCTCATTTTTTTAAGCAAATTTTCTTACTTTTTGTCACAATTTCATATGAACGACAGATCAGTTTTTGTACATTTTTCAACGTTTTGTAAAATCATGTGATTCTAAAAGAATCTCATCATATACAATGTTAGTGAAAAAGATGTTATGGTGTAGTCTCGACGAGCAAAAGTTGTAGCTCTCTAGCTCTTTATCTTCTTGAGTTATTGCAAAAATGACAACAGCCATTACTTTCTTTTTAACAAACAATAGTTGAATTATTTATAGCCTAATACTTTTCTTAAAGTTGAATAGTTCAAAAATGTTCATTTATCGTCTTATTAATCATTAAACTGAAATTGGCAATAGACGAGTTATATGAAACAAATGATTTTTTTTCTGTTTGAATCATTTGAATTTTTAAAAGTAATTCCTGATCAACATGTCGGATCTCTTAAAAACAACCTTAAAAGGATGATTTTTAAACTAAATGATGAATATTATTGTTATTCAATCTAAAATTACTGAAAAAAGACAAGTTTTTCTGATGAAATCAATCACTAATTCCAATTTTTTATAAGTGCTACATAATATTTTTGTTAAGATATTATAAAAGAACCAATTTTCTATATCTACTAGCTTCTACTATCTAAAATATTATTTATAATAAATATACACTTCTACTTAATTCAATATATATTACAAATGTTACAATACATTTTTTCATTCCGACTAAGCCATTACTAATAAGTAATAAAATGTATGGCGTTCATTCATTTTATATTGATATAAATTCAATTAAAAAAAGAAATACATATTATGTAAGTATTAATTCACCAATAGGAAAATTTCTACTAAATTTTAATCATATATATGCAGTTTATCTTTATTTTGTGAAAAAAAAGCAAAATCTTTTATTGATTTAATATTCTTTTTATTTATCATAATAAAGAAATTTTTAAAAAAATTCGAATTTCTATTATTATTAATCAATTTCAATAATATCATCTTTACATTCATATCCATCATGACTTACAAAAGTTATTGAAAATAATCGAAATTTAGTTTTTTCAAAAAAAATAAATAGCTCGAATATTTTCTACAAGTACACCACCTGATAAGATCACATAATGTTTACCCATTCGTTGTATTATATCTATAACTTTTTGCATTAAATAACTACCAAGATATTTATTTTGATAATTATCTTCAAGGCATAGACTTAATAGTGCTGTGGGTGGGTGTGGGTGTGGGTGTGGGTGTTTCTTGTTTGTGCAAGAGACACTACAACCACACCACACACTCCATCCATACCCGTACCACACCCCACACCCACACCCCAAACGCCATCATCGGCTGTAACTGAGAAACTGTAGATTTGAAGCATGAAAGAAACTGTCAGCTACAAATCTATCGTAAGCAAATGGAAGAAAAACTTGTTCATTTAACTCATAACAATGGGTCCATCGTGTTTCACACTTTTAATCCCGCAAGGGATTGCGCTAACAGCTTTTCTGTTTAGGTTTTTGTATGAGTTTTAGGAGTTTTTTGTGTTTTTATGAGTATGAAATGGAAAGAGCTAGTTTTACAAGAATAAATGTAAGAAAAAAAAATTGGATTTGAATTTGAATAAATTTAAGAAGAAAAATGGGCCAAAAATTGAGATTAATTGATTTGGGTAAATAAATAAATGAAAACAATTTAGTAAGAAAGAATGGATGAATGTGTGTAATAAGACAGTGTGTTTTTACTTAAGAAGGAAATAATTTAATGAAGAGAAAATAATAAATTTATTTTTAGGTGCTAAGGTTGGGTGTGGGTGTGGGTGGGTTTGCGTGCGTACGAAGTGAAGATCAACACCCACACCCATCCACACCGACACCCACACACCCACACCCTGAATGTGAATGTGATGGGTATAGGTGTGGGTGAGTGTGGATGTGGGTATGCGTGGGTGTGGGTAAGTGTCGGTGTGGATGTGAGATGCAAGTAGAGTCGAAAACATTCACACTCCACATCGACACCCACACCCTCAACGTGGCTATGGCACAGATAAGATGTACCTTGCACTTCAATGAAGAGGATGGCAGCATCATTTTTGTTAGCTTGTCGACTTGATCTCGATAGTTATTATTAATGATTGACTGTCCATTTTTTCTTTGAACCAGTAGAAATTACACCATGTTAAGAGCTGCAAAAAGACTAATCAGTCACCTTCAAAAGTTAATATCCGTAGTATGAATACAAAAATCTTTTCTAATATCAATGTTTGCTAGTGACATTGTCTTATTATATTTTTACTCTTTTATTTTCCTACAAAGTTTGTTGATATGTTGGTGAATTCTATTGTACTGTATTGAAAGAACCTCTAAATACCGGGTGACCCATAATAAATGTCCATATTTTGAATCTCATCTATTAACCAATAAGTATGTTGTATTACAAAAACAAAATATAACACAAGATGCAGCGTCAAACGCTCTACATTTTTATGTAGAATAGCTGATTTCACATATGTATTTTTCTGTCTTCAAAATTGACAAAACTCAGAGCGATCAAATTTTGATCCTGCGAAAGTCCTTTCTCAAAGTGCGATCAATGTAGTTTTTTCTTATTTATCAGCAAATATGTTTTTCTTAAAAAAATATACATGTATCAAAATATGCACCGTGAAAAACTACAATTTATGATGAATAATTATAAAAAGATGAAATAAGAAAAAAAAAGAATTCATCATTTATCAAAAAGAAAAACTATCGTTTTTACAACACTAAAATTTGATCGCCCAAAATTTTTTCGATTTTGAGCACAAAAACTACAACGATAAAGTTAGCAGTCGTTGGAAAATTGTAGAGCTTTTCACACTTTATTTGTTGGTATATTTCGTTGTTTTTTAGTACAATCTATTTATTGATTAAAATATTAGATACAAAAAGCGGACATTCATTATGGGTCACCCGATATAATGTGATCGTCGATGATCTCATAGACTCTGAAAATTTATTATTTTCTAGATATCAAATTTGTCATTGTCCCAATTTCGCTTTAATTGGGGAATCAATCAATATTAAGGCCGTCAATGCATCCATGCGCAATTCTATAGTTTCTTCTTTGCTTTTGTTACTACAAGATATATCGATGATTGAATGTTCAGCAAAAGTATTAATACGAACTAAGTGAGCGATCCAGCGATTATCGATAAAGGTTCGTTCACTTTCTATCTTAACCGTGGGCACAGTTCTACCTGCATCCAACTCAATAATTAATAATTTTGATTTTGCTGTGGCAACATCTGTTCGAAATTGCTCGTAGAGAGCAAACTTTTCGTTGTATCGATTCTCACAAAATTCCAAGTCGTCAAACATGACCACATTCGGTCTTGCTAGTTCACCACAATCAGAATATAAAGCTAAAGGATCTGTAACGCAACTCATTTCAGGATCTAAAGTAAGCTTCAGTGTATCGTTTGTAGCCCATACATGCTTACAGCAATCATTGGGGTGTGGGTCTGGGTGGGTAGGTGGATGTAGGTGTCATCCTCAGTGTAGATAACCACATCCACACCCTACTCCTGTCAAAAGTTTTCAGAAATAATCAAGATTTAGACTAGACAAACACGCTGGAATTCGGTCACTTACGAAGGAACCTTTTCAGGTGGCCCCCGCCAATTTCAATGAAACTTCGTCCAAAGATACTACATAGTGCCCTAATAAAAAACCTAAAAGGGTTTGAGTGCGAATCGCTTCCTTCAAAAGATATGGCCATTTTACTGAGTTTTCAGCCCATTCCTAGGTGTTTATCGAAAAAGTAAAATTATAAAATTTCGACCTGCAATTTTGTCCATATGTAGGTCTAATGACTCATAGAATATTCTGAAAGTTTTAGCCAAAAAGAATGTTCCTTTCTCGAGATACTGAGTTTTCAAGTGACCTCACTTTCTGCGGCCTATCTGTGATAAGCGACTATTTTTTAAAAAATCCATGTCTCGAGAAAGAAACATTCGTTTTAGCTGAAACTTTCAGAATATTCTATGGGTCATTAAACCTACATATGGACAAAATTGCAGATCGAAATTCGATAATTTGATTTTTTCGATAAACACCTAGAAATGGGTTGAAAATTCAGTAAAATGGCCATAACGTTTCAAGAAAGTGATTTGCACTCAAACCCTTTTAGAGTTTTTACTAGGGCACTATGTAGTATTTATGGAAGAAATTTCATTGAAAACGGCGGGGGCACCTGAAAGGGTTCCCTCGTTAGTGAAACAGTTGTTGTCAAGATGATACTCCTTTTTCTCTCTTTCACAAAATCCCGTACCGAACAGATTATGTCACTCTGCTTCAAGACAAGAGAATATTTGTCTATTGAGTGCAAAAATATATTTCTAAACAATTATTGCCTTTTCCATACTGAACCACCAAATTATCCTGTAAATGATGTTTTTTTAGTTCACGAACATTAATGATTTCGAACGTAATTAAACCACTCAAACTATCTCGACCTAATGGAACGTCGCACCATTGCGCATTCACTACAGATGAATCAATCGTGTCGTGAAGAACATTAGAAAACCTCGGTCTTTGATTGCTGGTGACCTGTTGAACACCAAACCACCATATTACATTATTCAATTGTCGAATATAATACAATCCACCGTCGTCACACGTCCATTTACCACTTAAATCAATATCATTTGGACTAGTGTTTACGGCTTTGCTAATGTTCGCTAGAAACAGAAACTTATAAATAATATTATAAAACAAAAATAGACTGATTTTCGATCACTGAAAAAGTTTGCAACAACTAATTCATTTTAAATTTAACTCAAGACTTTGTGTTAGAATCTTTCTTCAGATTTCACTCCTATCCCCATTTCCGTCACATCAATGTGCACAGTCATATTTACCTTTATAACCAATCCACCGATAAAACTTCATCCTCTTACAGTTGTTGAAATTAAGATTGCTTTAAATGTGTACATGTGTACACAAGTATATATGATATAAGTGATTATCCCTACGATAACTACAATCATACACTCTCACACGTCACTGACAGATTCTCAAGGAATCATACTGAAAAATTATAATTGGGAGTCAATTAAACTAAAAAGCAGTTGTATAATCATAGTAATCAATACTTATAAACTAGTAATGATTATGACCAAAGAATACACAACAAGAGAGTTAGTGACTAGATTTTCTATCTTGACACTATTCTTTTGTTATACAGAAGACGTACAAAACATGTTCGACTCAAAGTCAACTGATCGAAGTCATTGATATACAAATACTATTACAATGGGCAACATCAGAATACTTTTATCATCTTCTGCACTCACTTCTAAAGAATTTCGAAATTTTTGAATTCTTTCAGCTCCTTGTCTTTGTTGGATGTGAAAGCCTCGAAATCTTCAAAAGTTCAGGAAACCTCCTATTCATACATTCCTTATTAATTGATTAATCGGTGTAACTTACAAAAATATAATGAAATATAATACTAATCAGAAAGTGTAGATTACTTTGTATGATATGTAGATATCGACATTAAGAGTCTAATTCGATACTTTTCTAAAAAAATAGGAATTCATAGAGAATAATTTGAGTAAATATTCCAATGTTGATGACATCATAAACTCTTGAAAATGTATTCATATCTTTCTCATTGATTCAAACATACCCATCACACTTACTTGAGACTGAAAGTTTGCTGATAAATGCTGTAGTATCTTCTTGAATTGATATACTTGATGGTCGATCGAATTCTTTTTTCAGTTTTTCTAATATTATTTTCAGTTGATTTAAATGAATTTCATTAAAATCATCGTCTTGACGAATTTGTCTGGAATCTGCTATAAATTTATTCAATTCCTTCTCTGTTTCAATAAGATTGTCATTGATCTGCTGAAGTAATATCTGTCTGCATTCTTCTGCTGTTTGTCTAATTTTCTTAATTGATTTTGTTTCCCATGTGGCAATTTTTTGTATTAATAAATATTGATTTGGATCGTGTTTCTGTTCGATAATTTTTTGCCGAAATTCATCACAATCGGTGATGATTGACTCATATTCTTTATGAAGTGTTTGACGATGTTTTGTTAAGTCCGTTAAACAAAATTTCTGTGAACATCCTTCGCATAAGTATACAATTTTATCTTTGGCACATGTAAAACATTTTTCTTTACCAGTTGCCATTACCGTGCATTACATTTAACGACAAGAATAAGTGTGTACACGTTAAGAATTGCCAACCGTAAACTTAAAAAGTGAATATATGCTGTGTTGTAGTCGATAAAGTAAAGAATAAAATGAAGCAACATCAATCAACATTAATAGAAAATAAAAGAACGAAAAAAAGCCTTGCTTTTTTTCAAACGATAGAAACAACTCTTCACTTATGTAAGGAGTCATGAATATCTTTTTTTCTCCTGTTTTTTCGAAGTACCCATAAACATTTGTCATTTTCTATCACGATAAAATTCAGTAAAGAAACTCAAAAGTTATTCTTTCAAATGTGAAGTGACCATCTCGAAAGCAAAACAATATCGTTTTGTTTTCGATCTTTTCTAGTAAATAACGTCTCAAAGATATAAATTATTGAGCACTTGATCTATTCTCCTTTTCAGATAATTGAAATGAAGAAGCAACAAAAAAAAATCTGGTAATCTCTTTCATTTCACTTTTCAGACAGCTGTAAAAGCAGCTATTTATAAATAATTAATCAAAGATATCATTAAATAATCAATCTACAATATTACTTAGACAAAAAATCGATAGACATTGATAAAGGCCTTGTAAGGAGTGTGATGGGGTGTGGGTGTAAGAAAAAGAAAGACACTCACATCCAAATACCCATACCCAACCCAAGAATACATCACACACCCAACCGTAAAAATGTCGCTGTCGAATTATTATACGGCTATGCTTTATTGTAAAAGTTCATATATTGCTTGCATTCAACATACAGTTAATCATCACATACATTAGAGAAATGTGAGATTTATTATTTGAAATTCGTACAAAACTTATGTAATAGGAAAAGATAACAAAAACAAGCATTGAACATATAAGAAAGTAAAATATCCATTGAAACAGCTTGTAAGTGAATAATTTAAAACCAGAAGTGAAACTAAGTAGTGAATATAAACAAAAAGAAAACAATTTAACATGAATTCATCTTATTTTTAATTTAATAAGAATGTAACAATACCAATACCATTTCATATTGATAAGTTTAATTGAGTTAGTTTGTAATGGGAAATCAGAAAATTTGTAAACGCGATTAGTTTTGTCAGAGAAAGGCTAGTTTTCGCAAATAACTATTTCTGATAAAGTAGGACTAAGAGTATTCAAGATGAAGAAATCTCAATCTATGATAGATTTCCTAAATCTATCAACAATAGCAAAATCTAACACTGTATTAGTATTCTTACATCCTTAATTATTTAGCTAAAATGTAAAATCGATGGATAAATTGATTGAGTAATTTTACATAAGATCACTGCTATATAATGTATTCCATCAACAGTTTGTTCACCGAATGGCTTCTGAATAGATAATAATCCATTTAATCTATAATACCAACGGATAAAACCCATATAAAATTGTACAATATTATGATTTTTGATATTTGAAAAACAACTAGCATCAATATTATTTACTAACAATGTGCCTAAAACAAAACTATGAGTTTTATTTAATGACACATCAATATATTCTTACCTGTCATAGTCAATGGAGCATAGTATCCATTTTTCATTTCTATCGTTATATTAATAACAGATGATGAATAAACTTTTTCATTTATAACAACACGGAGCTTATTACCTAGTTTGACATCTTTGGCTGGTATGTAGATAACATCTTCATTGTTGTTGATCGTTGCGATCAAATGATGACTAGTTAGACTTATTTTATGTTCAGATGCAGTAACAATAGTATAGAATATTGCTGTAGAAAAAAAAATATAATAATCTAATACATTATATAATAGTATAGATAACAAAATAACCTGATGAGAGTTGATTCTTATCAAGCATCATCAACATTTCAGTAGAAACAATTTTAGTTCCATCAATACTAAGTAATTGATCACCAACTTGAAGTTTTCCAATTGGAATTTGTTGTTGATTGACTAATGTAACTAATGTATCTGATGAAAAACATCCAGTAGCTACAGCTACATTTACTAAAATTAAAAAGAAATCTTGTATCAATAAAATATAATACTAATTAAAAATTATTCTCACAAACAAATCAATATTCGATCTTTTTCTTATTCTCATTCGTACTATTCGAAACTTTATTTATGTTTGAGAGGCTAGATAAAATCATATGACAATATACCATGGTTATTATTCAAGAGTCGTCCACTCTTAGTATTATTTCCAGTTGTATTATTGTCTGAGTTGGATGAAGGAATTGATGTAGTAGTTGCATGAACATCGAACATTGTCAGCAATGTTATGAAGTAAATTAAAAATATTTTATTAATAGAATTCATTTTTTTTTCTTGTGATTGAAATTCAGATGAAAGATTTATCTCTTAAAAACAAAGTGTCTTAAGAAAAAATGTTAGAGTTGAATAAAAGAATGAAGTAACCAAAGAGAAGAGTAGAATGTTATATATGATCAATTGCAGCTTATTAGAGTGCATAAAAAAGAATGAAAATGAATCATGATTCAGACCAATGGAAATAATATTTGATTTTCTTCCTTGGAAAAAACCTTTATTTGTTTGTTTTCATTCATAATATGTCGACATTGAGTTTTTTTTATTCCTAACAAGATAATGACATGATTCAGTCGACAATGAACTATGCTGTCTTTTTCCAACTAGTCAAAATAAGTATTTATACCATACATAATAAACAGACAAAATAAGGATCAATAAAATACATAATAAACAATTAATAATATATATTCAGTTTTCTAGTAAAAAATCATAATCCACTGTGTAGTGAAGAAAGGAAAAAAGATTGAGAGGTATAACATCTACAGTTCGTCATTTATGTCTTCATATTAAGATATAACGAGCATTATCTTAACATTATAAATTTTGAAAATTCGTAAGACATTTTATGTACAATAAAAGCAGATCGATCGCGTAACATATTATAATTTATCAGAAACTGGTTGATGAAGTTTTTTGGCAAAGTTATCTATTGTACTTTTTTATAAAACAAAAAAATGTTTCATTTTTGTCTATCGAGAATTGACATGAAATAATTTTTTACAATTCGAATCCGTTGCAAATTCTTGTGAATATAAAGAAAAGAAAACTTTGTTCAAAAAAAAAAACTGTTACAAAATTTGTAAAATTGTATTTTTCTTAGAAAATCGTCCGCTTTTCATGAATTCACTCATACATCAAAGTTAAAGAGTTAAATAGACTATACCATACGTTTTCTTCCATTGACAATACTTCATATTTGGTATATGTTTTTCTTTTTAATCAATGCTCTCCTAATGCTAAATAATAAAGTTGATATCAAGAAGAAAGCTGTATGTGCCACTCATACAGCTTAGTCCTACATCAAGAATATAAAAGTACATTGTAACTGATATTTTTTTGCGTTTGATCATACACTGTTGTCAAGTCTAGTAGAACTGGCAAAGTACATTTCTTCTTTTGAGAAAAAAAAAGCTTATCATATACACTCGTATTTACGATGAAATATTAACAAAAAACGTGATTGATAGAGCTTTCTGAAACATCTTTACAGCAAGCCTGGCTCATACAGTCCAGCTATTATTCTTTGTATTAGGTCTTTCGACTAGGAAAAAAGCCTTATGAATGAGGTGCGACTGTACAAGGCTAAGTAGCTCTTTTCAACTTTGATGGCTAATACAGCAACAATTGAAACTGAGGAAGAAGAACGTAATAAGAATAGTTGGAAAAAATGTTGCTATGTTGTAATACCATGGTACACAACGTCATTGATCGATGATTTTTTTCCGATGACATGTGAGGATTCTTGTTTAAGTTGAAGAAAGTAAAAAAAAGAATTTTCGTATGCAAACTGCGAAAAATGTTTTTTTTTTTATTTGCATTAACTACATTCCATTGTCGTGTCGTATTAATCATATATTTCTATCCTTTCAATATTTGGGCAAAAACAAAAATATTTAGATAGGCATGCTTTTTGTATTGCTTAGTTTTATTAGAATCATATTAGTTTTCTGTAGGAGTCTTTCGAACACCATATTTTTAAATTTGAGATTTGTCTTTGAAGTCTTCACAGTAGTGCAGAAGTTTCTACGCTCAGATTTAGCTTACTAAATACTGGTATGAGAGATTGCAGTAACCAAATCTTTAACTGAGAAGAGAAAAAAATATCGTAGTTGGTCTATTACACTTTCGATTATTTACTTGAAATCAACTCTATATTTTTTAATTATATCAATGTTATGTTTATTAAAGGAACAATTATCGTTCATATTATACAGATAGTCGTGATTAATAATATGTCGTTGTACTACCCAAGTGATTTGATCCAATGACTGAACCTATAGAATTTGATCGAATCCAACTAGCCGACAAAATCCGATCGGATTCCGAGCAACGAATCCATTGATGGATCCGACGGAGAAACTCATACATTCTCTTAAACATCAGCAGCCAATTAGAAGCAATATTAGAGATGGGTCAGAACGGGACGTCGGATCCGGTTGAATTCCAATACTCGGATCCTATCGGATATCGACAGTGCAATTCCGTTAGTCGATTCATTGCCCGGATTCCGATAAGATTTCATCGGATTAACGGAAATTTATGTAAAATCCGATCGGATGTGTATCGGATCCTAGTCGGTCCTACTATCGGATTAAATCTCCTGGGTAGATAAAAAAAAACTTCGCTTCAAACTGTTGGCAATTTCTCTTCCGAGTGATTACTTAATATGTATTTACAGAAAAAAAAAAAAAGTAGTAAAAATATTCCTGTTTGACATTCTTTTTAAACAAGCACGAAATTTTTTTTTCTTTCGTGCTTTCTTTCTTAGTATGTATAAAAATATGTATTTTATATCATACAGCAAATAATATCAATTTATCGAAAATTATATTGGTTTGAAACTTTTATTTAGAAAACATAAATGTGTATATTCTTCTTGTGAGATAAATTTTTCAATAACTCAACATATTTCATAACTAATGGGTGACAGAACATCATGCCATCATTTTTCTTCAACGCAAGATCACTATGGATGCATCTCCAACAATTCAAATAGTTCAGTACTCACTGCTGGTGCTATTATTGGTATTATAATTGGATCTTTAGTGGGTATTGCTATCATTATTGCTCTTGGGATCCTAATTTATAAACTATCAAAGAGAAACAAATTATCGCATGAACATCGTCATATGAATATTTATGGTGTACCAATGAATATGCATCATGATCAATATTTAGAACCAAGATCTGACATTTATTTATCTTCCAAGCCACCGCTCTATTCCGAAACAACTCCACATGATGTTTTCTATGAATATGCTTGAAATTTGTATTGAAAAAAAAATTTTCTCTTAGAGAAACAATAATAAAAATATATTTTGAATTAAATAATTTAATAATACTAAGACATATGTGAAGTAAAATTTAATTAATATTGTGAATAGAAAATTAAGGAAACATTTAATATTTACCCTTTTAAGATACTTTTCAATGTACTAATTAACAAATTTTCTATAAAAATGATTATATAATCATTTAAGAAATGAATGAGAATTTCTTTTTAATAGTTACAATCATCACGAGCAATATCAATAAAATGTTATAATCATTAACATATGTATACTTATTGATAAAATCTCGATAGAGTTCAATTTTCTCCTTGTATATTATTTCATTTGTAACTGTGTTTTACAACTTGTATTCTAAGCGAGTGAATTATAACGTATTACAAAAGTTTTACATCATTGTCTGAATTGATTCTAACAATAATATCCAAGCAAGATAACCACAAGTAAGATTAACTTTTGTACATTCACTAGGTATTTGATTGTAATTTCAAATAATGTTCTGAACGATTATGAGTTTTCGCAGCAGAATGTGCTCATCTAATATCCAAATACAGATAGTTGTCTTCCGTATCCAAGTAGAATTAACCAATATTTTACACAGTAAGATTCGTCAACTTTTATTTTATATGAAAAAGTACATAATTTAGTTTTTTCCATAAACAATAACAAAAAGACTGAAAGATTTCATATGTTAGGAAAAACAAAACAAACAAACCAAGTGTTTTAGAATTGACTCGATGTATCTGTCCTTCTGACATCTGATTACATATCGTAATAGTATTTTAGTCAATTGTTTGCATATAATGTTCAAATTTTCAAAATGATTATGGTACTTGAAAGATTTATGAACTTAAAAAATGTGACATATATTAACTAAAAAATAATTCTTTTCAATAACAAAGTCTACTTATGAGTGTTATTTTTGCATCATATAATGTTTTGTTGATTTGTATGCACTAAAATTCAATATGATAGAATTATCAGATGTTTTCATTTAAATTATAAAATGAATTACTTATGTTTGATGCACTACAGATTTTACTACCTATATATGTCGTACTTCTATTCTTGTTTGACTGCACTTACGAGAGAACCTCACCAAGCGAGACGCTCTCCGTTTGAGCTCATAGTTTGCTCATAACATAGATTAAAGTTCTAAAACTGTTTGTCTCCATAGTTTGTTACTGTTAAGATATTGTATTTTTAAGATATTGCATGGATTCACTGCCGTGGTCCCCCTCCGAAACATAAGAAAAACTTATTTTCGAATTTCAACTTGAAACTTTACCCAGAGATATATCTTAATGAGTCTAATTTATTGCCAAAGTTTCAGTTCTTTTCTTTGTTTCTATCTCAGATTGCAATTTGCAACTATGCTAACAGAATATCGCCTATCGTGATAGATTATGATGGTCTTATATTAGATTAGGAGCACACAGAAAAGCTGAAACTTTCATCATAAATTGCTCTCATTAAGATGTGTTCCTGGATAAAGTTTCGAATTGAAATTCCAAAATAAGTTTTTCTTGTGTTCTTGAGGGGGGACCACAGCAGTGAATCCAGGCAATGTCTTAAAAAGGCAATATCTCAACAGGAACAAACTATGGGGACGAATCCTTTTATGACTTTCATCTGTGTTATGAGCCCTACTTATGAGCAAACTATGAGCTTAATCGGAGAGTATCACTTGAGGAAGTTCTCTCGTTAGTCCTATTAACACCAGACAGCTGCTATTTCACATGATTATTGGCATCAAATTAATAATTCATGTAATCGGTTATATGAATAATAGGATCTCTGACGGTATACAAGTTCGTTAGAAAAAGTAGTGTTCACTGCTTGAAAATTCAAACATTTTACAGTGATTGACTCTTAAATCAATAAATTCTGGAATTTTTTTTCTGTGTATATTAATAAAGTTATTTGTAATTTCTTGTTATTATTTTCTTAGACAATAACCGGATATTATTTATGGAACGAATTTTTTTCCTACTTAACATTTTATGAAATTTCTTTGCAACAAATATCCAATTTATCCGAGCGAACATTAGATGATTTTCAGAATTTTTTTATTTTATGATTTCCTCTGCATCATCGACAAGATGGTTGTGACCCTGTCATTTCCATGCAGTGCGAGATTCGTTTCTAAAACTTAAGGGCATTAATGCTCAATTACAGGAGTCGATTCTCCAAGAGTGAGCTTTATCTATAGGACTACTCCTGAGTTATAGTTCCAGTTGGTAGGAAATAAGTTTTTTTCATGTCTACAGTCACAGCATATTGTTCCGAGTTCTAGAAGAATTCACAAACTTTCATGAAATTAGTTGCGTAGATAACTGAAACATAGCACTAGATAATGAACTGTCTGCTGACCCGCAAAGCTATTATTTTCTTGAGTTATAAAGACCAAGGAAAAAATAGGTGCCATCCATTGCCATCAATGCTAATTCTCTTTGTTTTTAAGCAATCTAGGAAGAATTTTATCACTAACCAACACTTGGTGGAGTATGTCCGTGCAAATTTTCAGACCTCTAGCATGTACGGTAGCTGACACTGGGCAGGCGAAAATTTTCGTCCACTACTGTATTATTGTACGTTTTTATTGCAATGTAGCCAGCGAAAGAAACAGCACACCTATGAGGAATTCAAACAGTATCAATTAAGAAGAATTTACCGCAGTCGAGGAACCATCTTCTTTACTAGCCATATCGAATCGTCTGATCTTAAATAAAAAGAGGATTTGAACAGATGCCTCTCATTTTGTTTATAAATCAATAAAAGTACGGCATTTGCTGATGAAGGAATCTCCCGAAGTGTCCCATCGCTCTCTAATCGAGAGTAGAGGGTGTTTCATAAGTCTTGAGGCTCGACGAAATTAGTTCTATTTAGACAGGGAACAATGTCTAAACCATAAATATTTATATCACCTTTGAGTACTCGTGACGGGCTATCAAATGATATACAATTGGTTAAAATCTTCTGTTACAATAACAAAATTATAAACATGACAATGTGATGATAAATCTTTGCAAATCAACAGTAAGATAACGGGTGCCTCATAATAAATGATCGCACTTTGCATCTCATACTTTTATCTCTAGGGTGTGAGTGTGGGTGTGGGTGTGGGTGTGGGTATGGGTGTGGGTGTGGGTATGGGTGTGGGTATGGGTGGGGGTGTGGGTGTGGATGTGGGTGTGGGTGTCGATGTGGGTGTGGATGTGGATGTGGGCGTGGGTGTCGATGTGGGTGTGGCACAGTGGGGAGCCAGGCGGACATATGCGAAAATATTCTTTTTCAGAATCTAATCGTTTGCGCAGATACATGCATATGTGATCTATCATTTTCTAAAATAGTGGTTCTCAAAGTTTTAT